TGCGACTGCGCTGGAACTTCGTTGTTCGCTTCATCTGCACTGGTAAAATATGAATTCAATTCATAAATGTTTGTGTAAGGATGGCTGCGTTTCTAGTGCCTTTCCTTGCAGTATCATTAATAAATATAGCATCTGAAAAAATTAAGTTTCTGTGATTGTGTTTAACTGCACTATTTATGTGCCTGGAATAAGATGCGTTTTAGTTTATGCTTTTTTTTCTCAGTGCACCCCTTTCCTTCTCACTGCCGTCTGCACTGGATTTCTTGTTTTGCTGTTGCTGCATTAAAGCCAATTTTTTGACTGGAATTTCGTTATTGAACATTTTTCACTGCTGCCCTGATGCAGGGCGGCCATGGCAGAGTCTGGCCCTGGTGTAGAAGCCGAATGCCGGTTCGGAATCTGATCTGAATATGCTTTGGGTCAAGGGTAGGTCAATCAGAAATATGAAGTTGCAACACCAAAACATTTAGAAAAAGACTGTGGGCATCTTCAATAAGTAAGGAGATTTACTAACATTTGTAAAGTTTCTAACTAAGCTTATGGTCAACTCCCCAGAGAAGCATGAAACTTGTTAGCCCATCTGAAAAACTGTTCTTTTCGTTGCAGACGGTAGATTTTGGTCGGGGACCACCACATGGCTGGCAATAGTCCTGTTGATCCCATCACAAGATCAACTACCAATTCGCACTAGGAATTATAATAGAAGGGTGAGACCAAGAAACATCTCCGCATAATGCTCTTTAGGGAATTTTGCTACATAGTACATTCTCAGTAGCTTGTTTTGGATCCATAAATTTCAGTAAAAATAGACAAACCGACAGTCTTGGCTTACTATAATTCTGTTGTCTCGTGGTTGGTAGAAGTTATATTTGGTGGCGAAGTTCGGGCGGGGCAGCTAGATACGATACATACCAGCGGCAACTTATGTCCAAGCGCGACAGTAGGAAAGAATGCCGTGAGCCAGGTTAAGCTCGAGAAGAAGCCAGAAGGAGCTAAGAAGGGGAGCCGTTCCAACTTGCATCTATCTCTGTCGCTGTCCACAGCTGTATCCCTTCCTCTGCCAGCAATGAGCTGCATGCAATTCAGCCGTTCTGCCTTTTTCTACACTTACAGAAAATCAGAGTGTATGTGCTTCATTGTATGTGCTTCAGTCTAGATACAAAATTATTTCTGAAGTTTGTTCTCTAAGTGCTCGAGAACGAGCAGTCAACCGAGGGACAGATAGAAACGGCTCAAGAAGAAATAAAAATAAGAGAATACCCGCTGCATAAAAAATATTCCAGTGAATTAAAATGTGGCAAGTTGACTGTTTCGTGCATTTCGTTGTTGGTTCGCTGGCTGGCTTCATCTTACCGTGTTCTCCTCCGTCCGCCATTTGTCAGCCAGCTATTCTGTTGGTGGGCAAGATTCGCTTGGCTTCCTTCGCCGGACCGAAGATGCAACGTTAAGTTGGTTTTGGACTGGAACTACGACTGGGACCAGTAAATGCTGATACCGCATATTTCTCTCCGAAAATATTCAACTTGCCGCTGAATGTCGTCTGCGGCTCCAAACGTGCATTGTTGTTTTTGCTTATACCCTGAAAGTAAGTGCTTTTAGTTGGCTTGATAGAGTGAAAACTTTAGTACGAACTCTAAACGGTAATAGTTACAAATGAACTACTAAAACTTAATTCTCTGCAGATTAAAAAATTTGTTTTTTCTATAACAATAGCTTTTACTTCTGAAATGGACCTAATACCAAAAGATTGTTATTAGGGTATTCAAGGCCTCAACCACTTCTTGCCAGATCTGCCAGCTTGTTGAATTGCTAACTCAACGGAACTGGGAACTGGCCTTCTTGTCTACTTCTCCTCTAGCTTTGGAGCTGAGCCCTGTTGTGACTCTTGGTTGTTGCTCGTTTGTTGCTCGGTTCTGGCAACTATTCCCGGCTCAGCGACAACGCTGCCGAGATTGAGATTCATTGCCTGTTGCATGCCTGAGCCGTTCGACTAACTACTGGCTTCCCCCGCCAGCCCACTGCTCCAGCCAACATCATGGCGAGTTGGCTAGCAGAATTATGCGACTGCCCCGGACAAACACACATAAATAAGCGGCCACAGGTACATACTTTTAGCAGTATGTATGTGCCTTGCGTCTGGAGTGGCATCTTGCTGTTGCAAGTTGCACGTAGAGAGCAGCTCCAATCTATGCGGCCTTTGTATTCGTTTTCGGTAAGTTGGGCTGTACTGAGACAACTTGTTGCTGCAACAATGTTGCCATCAAGTAGGCTGTGGCAGAAACACAGTAAACTTCATTATCAGATTGCTCAGCCAATTGAGCAAAGTTTTATGAAACGCGTGGCCATACCAATTTTGTATGGCTTAATAAATATTTGAGCTTGAAATGTTATTTTTTATTTTTGATGTCCTTCTTGCGTATTTGATGCTCTTTGCAGGTAAGCTGCGTTTAGCATTTATTTGATGGTTTTGTTTTTGTTGTTTTTAAACTACCCATAGCAGTTACAACAAACAATGGCATCGGCTCTAATACGAGCTAATACTGTGGCGCGGGAAGTGGAACAGGGGAGGCGGAAAATGAAAACAAACGCAAATCATTTAACGAGCACGGCTTAGATTGGGCCGCATATTGTTTTATATGTGCCCCACGACCTCACCCTATTATCCTTTGCTGCTACAAAAAGTACACCGGCAGAATTCAAATTTTAGCTTGGAGCTTTTCAATTTTTTTAAGTTGTTGTCTGGTTCTAAGTTTCGCGAAATCAGATTTTCTCTTCGCGGAACGTCAGTCATAGAAAGGACCAAATAAATGCATGCAATTAAGAATTAGGAACTAAGAGCTTACCTAGTGCACTCTTTTAAATGCAACATGTTCCACACTTTGGTGTCATTAAAAATATTCCTAATTCCAAAATCTGAAATACGCTCAAACCAAACCATCTTTTGCGCAGTGTAGGGCCATGAAAAGTTGCCAGCAAATTGCGCGTAAATCCCATAAACCGTTTACAACTACAACAGCTCTCATCGGCGTCATCGATGACGATGCTGATGCCCATGTTGTTGTTATGACCTTTGTTGTTGCTGTAGCCACAACTGTCGCCTGCAACAATAACAAAGAAATTTTTATGCACACAGACATTGGCTCTTCATCGGTTTTAAAGCTCCTCTAAAAGTGTTATTTCGGAGGGGCTGATGAAATGGCGAACCAACCAGCTGACAAAGCTAAAACCTTCGTTTTGGTTTACGGACTAGTCGGGATAAAGGCTTTTATAAAAAGTACAAAAATTACTGTAAATAAAATTTACTTTTATTACCTAAAACGCGAAGTGAGAGCTTCTCTCCACTTTACCACCTCCCCTCCCCAATTTAATGCCCTATTTGTATGCCTGCAGAGGAAAATGTGCATGAAGGGATTTTCCGGTGCATTTGAGCATAGGTTAAGGTTAAGGTTTATTAGGAGATATTTTCATTGGGTTTAAAGCTTAAAAGGCGGAAGCAAAGGCCAACCGCTATTTAAATTAACTTGGTAGGAGCCTGATTATGCCATTAGTAAGTATTGTTATAAAAACTGAAATATTCAGTTAAAGGTTTGTTTTAAAGTTAAAATAGATGTGGGTTACAAGTAACCGTAAAGCTTGTAAACACTAGTAGCTTCGCCAGAATGATCATTCCCCCTTACGTTTTTCCGATTCAATAACAGAGCAAAAAGTAATCACCATGAAAGGCAGTTAAGGATTCTGTTTTCTTTCCTAACAGAAAGCTCTGGAAAGGGCTTTCGTCTAACAGTCGGTGGCAACCCCTCCGTATAATGTTATCCTGAGTTACCCCTTACAACAAATTTAGCGTCGGCTTTTCCCCTGATTTAGATGGTAAGGACCCAACTTTCCCACATTCCCGGAAACACACTCACACACCCACGCAGCCCACATAATTTGCACCTTGGCGTCATGCGCTCTATCGACGTTCGGAGTCGACATCGGCTGGTGGGCGTCGGGAAAATTCTGTCGGCTTTTCCGTTCGCTTTCGCTTCGTCCGCCTTGGCCGGGCATCGTTTTTCCAAACTTCGGCACTTTCCGCTGCGTTTAGAGGGTGGCAAACGCTCACCTGAAAACCGAGCGAGCTTCGTTTATGTGGGGGGTGTGTGTACGTGTGCTACCCCCTTTCGCCACATTTCCGAAGCAGGTGTAACAATTATTATTTTCTCGTTGATTTTGCTGCCGACGTCGTTTTGGTTTTTTTGCCGCTGTCGAGCTGTCTGCCTCTCGCTCGCATCCTTGGCCCTTTCGCTTGCACCTCTGGTTTTTGGGTGGCGCACACGCATGGCGCATGCATTTGCTGTCTCACGTGGAAATGCTGGCGCGTTCTGTCTGTATGAGTGTGTGTGCCAGTAATGTTACTGCAACAATTGCGATTACAAAAGCAACAACTAGTGCAGGGGAGCCCATCTTTTGAGTAGTTCAACACCAAGTGCCTCTCTAGTTTCGATCCTCAAAAGTCTTATACGGACAGGTTTATACTGTAGGAGGTATGTCTTTTATGGAAGTATAAGAGCTCATAGCACCCCGCTGAAAATAATGACTTGATAATTGCGCAGCTGAAAAAATTCACTGAGAGGAAGAAATATAATAATTCCACCAGCAGGTAGAAAACCAACGGCCGAGAGAACGCGAGAGAGCGGCAAAACAGGAGAAGGCCCAAAAGGTGTGCTACTGATGACTCGCTTTCATACCGCATTTTTTCGGAGTCGTCGCTGCCAAGAGGAGAAATGCTGCCCACGACGACCGATTCCCTCAGCGTTTCGTGGCTGCTCGTCTCGGCCGCGTTCGTTCTTTTAGCCAGAGTTCGGTTCTTGGGCCCACTGTTGCTTTATTTTGGTTATCACGCGTTGCCGCTCTGCCGCTGCTGGCGCAGCAGCAACAGATTCAATCCAGGCAGCGACTGCGACTGCAGCAGCGACGTCCAACTCCGAAACAAAAAGGTATATTACCTTAGAATGCCAGTCGTTCTTACTTCAGTCTTCGTACAGTCTTTGCTTTAACCCGTTCCAACTCTGTCCGCCGCTCAGCTCGTTGGCTTTCTATAGGAATCGAATCAAATCACCTAGTATAACAGCAGCAATAACATCGGGTCGGTAGCCTGTGTTGTTCCCTGGTTCCGTTTCGTTCAGTCATCATCGAAAGTTGGCGTCGCAGTCGCAGTTGCCGTCACCGTCGCCGCCTGCGCCCAAAACCAACCACCGCCACACACCTCCGCCAACGCCATCGACATCCTCTCCACCACCGCTAGTAGCAACATCAGCAGCAGCAGCAGCAGCAGGAGCCAGAACCAGAACACTCTCTCACACACTCTCCACTCACTCACGAATTTCAATATCCAAATCAAAGTCAGGTTCAAATCGAAAACAGCCGCAACAGCAGCAACAACACCTCGCAAAAAGCACGCGGATAATAATAAAAAGAAAATAACTCACGCAGTTCGCATCCAGTGTCCGACTTGAACAGATCACATCAGTCCAGATCCAGTTCCAGATCCAGTCCCCGAGAATATTAACTCTCGAAGCTTACAAATAGAAAAGTAAAATCAATCGACTTCCGGCTTCGCAGTGTTTTCACTTTTTGCGCGTGTGAATCAAATTAAACCAATCAAAAACTCAACTCTAATTTTCATTTCCCAGTGTCTCTATCGCACTTTGCGCTCTCAAAAATGTAAGAAGAAACGAAAAGAACGACTCGAAAAACATCAAGAACACAACAACAAAAAATAAAAGATATTTTGTGCTCACAAAAGTGTTTTTTTTTTACAATAAGCGAATAAAGAGTAAAGCGAGAACCAAATTGCTGGCAAAAGTTCGTTGCTCGAGAGCCGCTCTCCAATTCTTAGGCCGATGATATTTCTTATAGGCCTTGGCAACAACAAGTTCTGAGCCAACATCAGCCTTAGCGTCTCTCGCTCCTGTTCTCTACGTACAAGCCAGACATACATAGGTGAAGAAATTTTAGAGCCGGCAAAACCAAGAGCCTCGCCAACAAAGAAACACGTTTTGTGTTTGCGGGCCCACAAAAAAAAAAAATCACAGAAAATCCACACGAAACGAAACCCAAAGGAGAAAGAAGAAAAAACAAAACAGCAGGCAAAACGCAGACTAAGTCTTTCTCAGCCAACTCCGATTCGAGTCGACTTCTGGCCATAAAACCTTATGGCCCGCGTTCCAATAGGCCGCACACAGACATTCAGCATAGACAGCCACTTGTCGCTGCCGCTGTGGCGTACTAAGTACGCATCCAAATAATTCCCGTAGTTTATTTTTATTGTTGTAATTACACGTCGGCGGAGAGCGAGGAAGACGGCTCTTGGCCCACGCGGCGTTTCACGGGCTTAAACTCCCTGCTTACTTCTTACCTGTTTTTGCAGCGGGCCAACGTGTGACTCAGCAACAACAAAAACGAGCATCAACAGCATAACAAACCGGTAAAGCTGAAGAAATTGTGTGCGTGTTAATTTAGAATCTAGAGAGTCCGTCACAGAGGCTTTCGCTCCGCTCTCCGACCAAAACGAGTTTTTTCACAGCTCTCGAAAAAAATAAAAAGAATTTCTCGCAAAAATATTTTAATTATTTATTCACTTGAAGAGCACAAGAGAGCACAAAATATTTGAACTCGCAAAATATTTCATTTATTTTGCATTTGTTCCAGAGTCATAATTACAAGATCCGCAACAAGAAACTTTGATTGAAAAAACAATTCAAGAGAATCCAACATTAAAATAAACTCTTCACTCCTCATCCAACTTCAACGACACTGACTCGACACTTAATTGGTAATAAGAGCAAATTATTATTAAGTATTCATGCCCATTGTGTCTCGTTTTTGTTTCTTTTTTTGTGCGCTATCTATCTTTTGATTTTAAATTGATAATCATACCCATATGGTTTATTTTCTCTATTTTTTTGGAGCTTCACGTTTGGCTTTGAATTGGCAAGAAAAAAGAAAATGCGAAAGAAAAAATGAAAATGTAATTCATTTAGTGTATTTTTTATTTTATCTTCCTCCATTTACCTTACAAGAAAATAATCACACGTGTTTTGCAATCTCTTGACCAGCAATCAGAAACCGACATAGAAATGCCGGACAAGTCCCAGCATAAATGAAATAAATCCAGAGCTAAAGACAACAAAACTGCAAACGAACTCCCTCGTATTTTTCTAAGCCCAAAACCAAACCAAACCCCTTTGAAACCCGCCCCGCCCAAATACCCATCAGCCATCAAACTACCGTACAGAATTCATTAAAATAAATCAAAACCGAAGAAAGCAAAATAATAAGAAAATAAAACCATACAAAAAGGCACAAAACAAGAAACAGGCCAAAAGTGGTGAATTGTTGCTAAATCAATAGAATACCGCTACAGAAGTCGGTACAGAACAGTATTTTAAAATATATAAGAAATAAGTGAAATCGAAGAGATATTTACAAAAATCAAGATCCTGTTGAGGCATACATGAGAGAATTGTGAATTTTATAGAAATTTATAAATCGATATACATCTATATATTTGTATGTTCAGTTGTTAATTTTGAGCGTTATTTAAAGAGGCATTTATACGCAGAAAGTTGTGGGAGAAATCAATTACCAAAGGTGACTACAAAGGGAAATCTGCAAGAACAAGAAAACGGAAAAAGGTGATAGCCAGCAGGGTCGACGGTAAGGGCGACAGAGAAGCGATAGAATGCAAAGGTTGTTAAATTAAAATTAAGTATAAATATTTACAAGGAGCGAATAAACGCGTTAAATAGCAACATATCAGCATTAAAGAACAACAAAATCAATTAAAGAAAGGCAATCGAAAGAGGCTGCGGGAGATAGGAAAAATCAAACAGAAGTAGGAGAAATAGTTATATGAATATTGATGCTACCAAACAATCAAACCCAATCGAACCCCAAGATTCCGAATTAAATCAAAGTACTCAGAATAGATAAATTCCTGTTTACACATTGGTAAAACATCGGTTGCAGGAGCCGTAGGCAATGTCAATTTGTAATTCGTAAGCAAGCAACGTCAATCAGAGGCCGACTCAATCTCAATCACTTTCAGTCGACACTTAAATGTAAGACAGATTTTTGTAGCTTCGTCTCTAGCATACAGTAAGGGGTTAACGTTTTTAAGGAAGTAGGGTTAAAGAGGGATCGCCGGGTACAATCAATGCCTCGATCGACAAGAAATCGCGTTTTGACAATCACACGAAATTAGCGTATTTCATATACACATCAGATATATCGCCTCCGCGCGTAATATAGGATTTATATACATCTTCTCTACAGCATATATTTACGAAAAACGTTTGCTAGCCTTGGCACTTTACATGTTCTAAATCAAACCTCTATTCTATGACAATCTATGAAACCACTTTCCTCTATTAAAATAAAATAACGAAAGCGGTCTAAACAATTTACAATCAATCATCTTGCAATCAACTAGAACTTTAAACAATCTTCGAACGGTTTTCAAATCTCTATACACATATTTATATACGTCTAACCATAGTAGTGATATATTTCAATATTAACATTTTTAGAAACACTTTAAACACGCTCAAAGTCAGATTAAACAAGGTAGTCTTAGCTAAGCTGATAGCTGTTCTTTTATCTATCGAACAAGTTTAGCAACAATTTGCGTAAAGCTTTACATCACACAATCGGCATAGCTATCATGGAAAACTAATTCAATTGGCATTATATTATAACAATAAGCAGAGCTCATATATTCACCAAAACACGCAATCCAACAATCCCAGTGTAATTTTCCCCAAAACTCAAAATACGCCAAATACTAAAACAAAAGAAAATCGAAACGAAAACTTTTAACTCAAACGCACCAAAAAATATAACTCAAGAAAAACCAAGTGCAAGCGGAGGAAACTTTAATAAACATTTGTTGCCAATAAAACTGTCATCATTGCCGCGTTAACAGAAACCACGGCGTCAGCAGCGATTGCAGCGCTCAGTATCAGCAGCAGCTCTCAAGCGTCGCTAGCCGCCAACGCCTCCGCCACGCCCACATCGCCGCCCACTTCGTCAGTGGCAGCAGCAGCAGCAACGGTAAAGAGCGAGATCGTTGAATCCGATTCGGCGGAGACCTCCCCTATACAAGATTTAATAATGGTAAGCGCCGCCCAGAATCCGATCCTAATCAATTTAACGAATCCGCACTCGAAAGCCAAAATATCGAAACATTAAATTAGAATCGATAACTTAACACTCGAACGATAAGAAAATGAATCCGAAACCATATTCAAGAACTCTATACTTGATCAAAAATATGTCATGACTACTTATTAACTAAAAATATATAAGAAACTTGTACAGTTTTCTATGCAAAAAGTCAATTATATTCCTAATCTTTTTAAGTTCCTCTTTCTGTCATAATAATCTATACCGCTAACCTCATATAACTTACCTCTACTATTAACTATCGGACAATTTCAAAGGTGTTTAATGTCAATGGAGGAGAAATTGTTTCTATTTTATGTTAATTTGTACATACATTAGCAATTCATTTGATTTTCCGTTTTATTTGGTTTGGGAAATAGTTTTACTTTAAATACTTATTTTATACCTCACTCTGCTGTTGTGTATATAGTTTATTTTAAGAGTGTGGTGCCGATCCAGCCATTGACATTAACATCTAATTATAAAAAGCTGATGCTTCACTCATGATTTGGCCGCAAAAACTTTCACATCTTCTTCGCCTAAGCTGTTCTTCCATGTGACCAAGTTGTGAACGGGCTTACATCTTTTGAAATTGGCCAAATCTTTATGCTACTGCTTTCGTTTCTGTATCGGTCTTACTTCGCCTCTCTATGGTTCCAACAGTAGATTTAACTATCCACTATCCACTGGTAGCGCTCTCTTAAAACTCTCACTGCTCTATCTCTCTCACTTGATTTCACTATCTATATCTCAGCCCTGACTCTCTGTAGCCCACTCCTTCTCTCCAGTCCCTGCAACACGATTTTTAATTTGAAACGATAGATGTCGTAAGGGTCCACTTCACACACTTTTCAGTTTGTTGTGACTTCTTTTCATTTTATTTACGAAAAAATAAGAAAATCCAATTCAAAAACCAAACTGAAACCAACAAAACCCCTCGCCAGAAAACCAATTACAACAAATAATCTGAACCCACCACGCACAGCAAATGCAATTGTTGCACGCATCGCCGTCCACGCATCCGCATCCACATCCGCATCAGTATCCGCAGCATTCGGCAGCATCAGCAGCCGCCTATCAGACCATGCAGGTCCATCAACAGCAACACCAACAGCAACATCATCAGCAGGCGGCCGTCTTCCACCACCAAGTGGCGGCCATTGCCGCCCAGCAGCAGCAGCAACAACAACAGCAGCAGGCTCAAGTGCAGCATCAGCAACAACTGCAACAGCAGTTCCACTACCAAGCCCAGGCTCAAGTCCAAGCGCAGGCAATGCTGCAGACGTACATGCAACTTCAGGTGAACAATGCAGTGGGTGTGGCTGCCACCCCTGCCACACCTACCAAGCCGGTAGCTGCCCAGATTCCGGGTGCGATCTCCGGGCCGATTGCGGGTCCGGTTCCTGTATCGGTGCCGACACAGTTCTTCGCGGCTCCAAGTACTCCGCTAACCATCATTCCGGCGGCGGCGGTGGCCTCGTCCGCCATGTTTGCTACCGCGGCCACGCCCACTTCGGCGGCCACCACTCCGACCAACAATGTAAATAATACAGTTAATCTATCAGCCGTAACTAGAACTACTACCACTACTACTAAGAAGCAGCCGCCGGCAGCAGCGGATGCAGTCCTGAGCGCTGTCAACGGTAATGTTGGTCTTGCAGTGGGTGGTGGTGCAATGGCCTCGATCTTGGGGCCAGCACCGCTGCCAATGATGCTCCACCACTTGCCACTGGCCAGCGTTCGGGGCTGCAGCAGCGCCAGCAGCGGCTGCAGTTCTGCATCTTCTGATTGTTCTATGCCATCGCCAACTTCACTACACTTATCTTCTCCTAAAAAGGTTTGTGTGTTCACTAAAAAAAAAAAACGCTATAAAACAACTCTCTTCAGATCTCTCTTTGAGTTTCATCCAGTCAGTTTCCTGTCGAGAAGTAGATATTAACTCTCTTTCCCCACTAACTCCCCTTCTCACCTGCTTTGCATGTTGTTTTGATAACTACAGTTCGGATTTGTTCTCTAACCTCCGATCCGTCATTCACCACTGTAGTTAGTGTACTCACTCGTAGTTGTCTTTCATTTGCTGTCGTTTTCTTAGTTGTTGTCGTTGTTTTGAAATGCTCATTTGATTACAAACCAATCACTAAGTACTAAAACCATTAAGTTAGTTATAAGTGAATAAATATATTATTATTGTTTTACAGTTACTTATTTATATAATTCAATAATGTCCTTCTTACTCGAACATTACATTTTGTGTCAACATTTATTAGGCCTAAGACTAGGACTTGATCTTAATTTATTGTTTAGTTTTATTTAATTCAACGATACAACCTTTTTATCGATTAGATTAACGTTTCAAAAGTTTTGCAGCGGTCTTCATTCGGTGTGAGAGTGTGAATTGAAGGAAAATTAAATGCCAGTTCAATTATATTATTTATGAATATAGCACACTGACCCTTTTCCCTTGTTTAGCCCTTCTGGACCTTTCATTGGGCCACGTCCTCTAAAGGCTCCATTTTGGGTTGTGTGAGTCAATTGCGCGTAATAAAATAATGTGCAACCGCTGTGCCCAGCTGACCGGCATACAAATGAGCCTCCGATCGGGTTTCTATATCTGACACGAATTTATGGACTCAATCTCAACTTTGTTGGAAGTTCGTAAATTTCGAACCGACTAAAAAGTGGGTTCGCAAAAAAGGAGTAAAACAAAAGTTGCTGGCTGACTGGGTTTATTATTTTATCAGTTATAACTATCGCGCTGCAGGCGAGCATTAACCGCAATTGTTTGCCCAGCACTTACACTTCGTCCTGGGCAACTGTTCCGGTTCGCCTGCACCTTTGCCCGTTTTTGCGCTTTTTCGCTTCCTTTTTCCCCATTCGGCCACATGTCGCCCATATTGATTAGTTGGCGTTGAAAATGTCGCTGCAATTTGTTTGCAGGGCGAAAGGCAAAAAGTTGCACCTCCTCGTCACTCACTTCTGGTAATATAACGGCCAGTTTTTGACCCTCTTGCTCCTCTTTCAGTTGTATTTCCCCAGCCGTGGCCGCGAGTCAAACAAACGTGGCCTGTGCTGTTTGCCCACTGTTCCAGTGACTAGTGCTCTGTGCTCAGTGTCGTGTATCACCCCTGTATCCTGTAACCTTTGTGTTAGGTGTCCAAGTGTCCAAGCGTCCGAGTGTCGACCGTCCACAGTGCGTATGTGTGCTCCGTTTGTTATTCTAACAGCAGAGCTGGCAGAACGGTCGACCAACGTCTGCCACATTTATTATCGATTTATCGTGGCCAGTAACTCCTTGCTGCTGCAATTAACCCCCGGTTCTCATTAATGTTTAAACTGTACTTAAATGACTCTATTATGTGCTTCCCCCATTTTACACACAGGTCCACGTTAAATTATCTGTAATTGATTTTGTTTAACATACGCCCCGACAATACCTGACACCCCTGTCCCTATCCATTAGCCGATTTAAATGTTGATTTTAGCCTTTCGCTTTATTTTCGTGCGATTTTCCATCTGAGCATCATTAAATGCACTCAGTCGTGAATAAAAATATTTTGTGATTAAATAGTTTTTGCATCGATCGACCTGCATTGCTGTGCATAATTATTATTGTTATATGCGGCGCCAAATTCCGCTGTTTTTCTGTGTCTTTCGTGATTCCCAAAAAACAAACGAAAATTTAAAATAATTGGTTTTCACATGGCTTAACTAGCCGCCTTCCACTTTTCCACCTGCGCTGCCAGGGCAAATAGCAAAAAGCCATGAGACTGAGACGCACGACAACAACCCCAAGGTGCTAATAAATACCTCGAAACAAAGCCAGAAAATCGTACGATAAATAAGGATATTGACAATGAAACATGAAAGACCTCCGAAGCCAGGGGAAGTAGAAAAATTTTTCAAATTAGTAAAGCGCTCGGGGATTCGTGTAAACATATTTGACGGTGGCATCTTCGTTGGAAAAACGCTTGCAAGTGTCATGACCGCATAAGCAAACTCGCTTTGAAGTGTTGGAGTCAGTCAGTCAGTCTGTCTGCACTTCTAATAATAATCCACAGAACTGCCGACCCTCGGCTAACTTACAAACGCACAAATAAACTTTTTAAATTTAAAAATTCATCAAACTTTCAAGCAAAGGCCGTCGAGTCAAACAAACTAGATGAACACAGTGGGGTCTCAGCGTTAAAGAAAAATAAGCAAAAATAATAAAAATTTGTATATATATGAGGGAACAAATTACATTAATCCGTAATCGAAAAACTTGACTTGAACACGATGGGAAAGTTTTCGCTGTGCTTTGAAATTTAGAAAAAAATGTGTATTAAGCGATTTACAAGAGCGCTGCAAGTAAAGTGTTTTCCAACTACAAAATTTCAATTATTTTACTGTTTCGGGGTTCGTCCGCGAATAAAAAATTTAAATTTTAAATGCAGCAGGACAAAGTCCCCCTCCTGGGAAAATAAATATGTCAGGAAATGGGACAAGCAACATGTTGTCCAAAATAAGTGGGGGCAAGTAGAATGGAATTGCTTCGTGCTTGCATCAAATTGAGATGAGAAAATAAAATTCAATAAACTCTTGTTAAGCACGCAGCATTACAGGAGGACTGCAGGAAGGGGACAACGTTTTAAATATTGACAGCTTCAAAAGGGAGTCCCTATTCCGCCCTTCCCATACCTGGTATCCCTTGTATTCCTGGTATCCCTGGCTGCTGAGTAAATAGATAAATCAACCCCAGAGATATGTACACCAAGCATTTTTGCATTGATCAAAGCTGGGGTCGGCTCTCCGGGGGACAAAGGGGATGGGGCCAGGGAGAAGGGCAGGACATGATGCCTAGGCTTTCTTATGGTTTATTCGGACCTCAATCGATTTTCGTAGCACACTTTTTGGCAAAATCACATTTCTCCCTCAGAAGAACTTGTACAATTGCGCTAATCAGAGAGGATAGG